GCAGCTCCCCAGCCATGTCCCCCCAACCCACCCCCCCAAACACCTCCTCAGCATACTCCTATTCTGGGGACTCTGAGGGTGGGGGAGGGGGTAGCAAAGTGCTTTTTCAGAAGCTCTGTGCTACCCAAGGAAGCCACTTTCACAGTGGTATTTCCCAGGCAGAGCCGAGATCCAACATGAAGGGATTATAACAGAGGCCAGAATCAGAGCCCTGAGTCTTGAATTTGGACTTCAGAGGGCAGAATCTGAGGCCTGATCTGGATCTGGTTCAGAACCTAGAGCATAGATTCTGTCAAGAGAGAAATATAACCTACAGCACAAAGAGAACTACACAGCTCTGTACAACTCCATCAAAAGTTTTTGATAACCATGAGATAGAAGCACAAGTGGCTTGCAGCTGTTACATGTAACATCTAAAAAGTCTGTTACACTATCCAGTGTATGAAACATCTGTATCCTAAGTGTGAGATGTAACATTTGATATATTTCATGTACCTTGTTGTGGAAGGTTAACACTTGTTGTTGGTTTTTTAAAGTCCTATACAATCCTTCTGTCCTGTTCTTTCATACCAGTCAGTAAGAAATATTTTATTTCAGGACCTTTTCCTGCTCCCTTTTATCTCTTTCCCATTATATTTAGGGGAAGCCATTGCTGCAGCTAGAGATGCAGATATATATTCTGACCGACCCTGATAGCACCAGCCATGCCATCAATTTGTTGGTTAAATAAAGACGACTTACCGGGGTTATTTATTTATTTCTCCCATTAAGTTGTTTGTTTTGGTAATGGGATTAGTTTTATAACTGGACTATAATAATGTCTGGGAAATTTTATATATGGCTAGATAGTGGCAAATACAGCAGGGCACCTCAAAGCAGCACTATGGGGCAATAACTTTGGCTTTTTTTTCCTGCCAGTAACATAAAGCAGCAGATGCTTAACCATAAACACACTTAAATCTATCTGCTCCATTGCTGAAAGGAACGGAGTGTGTGTGTTTATGTGGAGGGCTGTGCTCACATGATGTGCTTCACCTAACTTACAGCTGCTATTATAGCTGATGCACTGGGGCTGAAGTGTCCTGGGCTGAGCAAGTGTTCGTCCTTAGTGTTATTTCTTGCTGCTCTGAGCTTTCTCACTTTAAAATTGTCTGTTCTCACCTTAGCACTCCTCCCTCCCCCATTCCCCCCTTTGTGAATGAGAAGGAAACGTTCACTCTGTATGAAATTCTCCCATGGTACCAGTGCCAGGCCCTTTACACTGCTTAATCCAGGACTGAGGCTGGGTGTGAAAACTCTGGATGAAACAGCCTCTGGGGAGCCTGTGCATTTTTGGGGTGGTGGAGCTTCCATGCTGGCCCCATATTGACCAGAACTAGGGACTGCAATGGGGGTAGGCCAGAAGATGGGCCATGGGGTCCTTGATGCACATCCAGCAACATTTAAAGAGGGGGAAACTGAAGTGCGGGAAGGTTAAATGACTTCCCTGTGTTCATGAAGAGTCAGTGACAGAGATGGGAAGAAAACCTAGATCTCTTGACTCCCAGTGTGGGAATGTGACCACTGGATCATTTTACCTCTTTTTTGGGGGGAGGTGAAGAGGGGCAACCTGAGCCTCACGTCTATCACTTTCTCAGAGTGTGTACATGTAGCTCTCATGGCTGAGTCTTAAATAAAGACTCCAGCTTAATGCATCCCAGAATCAACTCCAGAACAAAGCCAACATTAAATATAAGGGACAAGCATGGCAAGAGTAGATTTTGATTCATTAAAATACCCTTTTGGGAGCAAGGAGCTACTGAGAAAACAGCAAAGGAGTTAAATATAAGTCATATATGACTGCATGTCGGGTGAGGTATTATTGGAGGCCTTGAGTGAATCGTGCCTTCTTGGTAGAGTGGTTATATTAATCAATAAGGTTAAAGAGGGAGCTGAAGGAAGGGTTTTCTAGTGGTTAGTGCACTAGCTTAGAACTTAGAAGACCTGGGTTCAATTGTCTTCTCCACCACAAGTTTCCGGTGTGACCTTGAGCTAGTCAGATTGATTTCAAAGGCAGTTAGGTGCCTACGTATTTTTAAAGCTCTGGCTCAGAAGTTTTTGGTGCCTCAGTTCCACATCTGCTATAGCCTCTGTTGTGGAGGAGATCAGACTGCATGATCATAATGGTCCCTTCTGTCTTTAAAATCTCTGAATCTCTCCTTATTTAATGACCTCTTATTGGAGTCTTGATTGGAAATGCCCTCTTCTATGCAGCATCAGTTCCTCTCTTTTCTCAAACATTTTTGTTGAGGGCATGAATTTTATCATGATGCTGGAAATGATACCAGCTTTTTTAGACTCATAGCTCTGGTATGCAGCAACATTCAGCAAGGTCTGGTTTATTCAGCATTTCAGCTTGATTCTTGTTTTTCACATCTGTTTGCAGTTTCATCAGTCATAAAGTATAACAATGGTGAACGTTAATTTTAAAGGATGCTAGAGATAAACCACACAGAAAGAGTGAGAGGCAGTCAAATAGCCAGAGAGTGACTGAGTGGTGTCAAGCAGAACTCACTGACAGAACAGAATTCTACCTTCACTCAATAAGAGTTTCACCCACATATCTAAGAGCAGAACTGCTCCCCCACCCAGCAACGAGTTATTATTTTTAGACATTAATGCAGAATATTAGGGAAATATTTTTGTTCAACATATTCATGATTTTCTGTAATTTTATATGCTGTCAAGACCAATTAAAACTCCTGCCCAATTCCAGTTGGGAAGGAGGATGTTTGTCTTGGTGCTGACATATTGTTCCCTTTTGGTTCAGGATAAAAAGGAAGCTATTAACACAACCAAAAAGGAAAGTGTCTCTCCTAGGTAGGTGTGAGGAATTTGCATGTCTTCCATGTAGTTCAATGGAAAACTTGCAAGATTTTCCACTCCTTCCCTGCAGGAAGACTTCATGTTTTAGCTGCTTAAACACAAACAGTGGTGTGCTTTTCACTAGTGAGTGGGTTTGGTGAGAGATGGTTTACGGCACTTGCTACTGGCGACAAGGTAGAAAGTGACTAGAGTCCAAATTCACCTTTCCAGTTAGGGTGGTGGCGGCTGTATAACAGGAGGGCTCGGTCCCCTGTAAGGGGATGCTGAAAAGGTGTGGCCACAAACAGTTATATTTTGGACTCTGAACACAAATCCATTCTGAATGAAGGAGCTGCTGCTGCTGAATCTTGTATCGAACTTGGGAAGCTATCTAAAAGATGGCTGTGCTTGCAATTAGCTACAAGGATGCAGTTGTGAATTCATTATACATACATTGCTCTTTCAAACAGAAGGCTTTCACAGAAGGAAAGAAGAGTGCGAGCACCATGCTTCTTGCATTATAACTGTGCCCTTTATTCACAAACTGTAAACCAATAAGCTAATTTATAAACGATGCAGACATTGGACCTAATCCAAAACTAATCGAAGTCAGTGAAAGTCTTTCCTTTCACAGCCTTGGGATGAGGCCCATGAATAACATACTGGTAATACTTTCATCATGATTATCTTTATTTTGGTTAAAATTCAACAGATAATTTTAAAAAATAGCTATTCTTAATTTTGTGCTCATTTGTGTTCTTAAAATGGGCTTTTACACGACATCCGTATTGACTCACTGTAGTGAAAAATCTAGTTGTATCCCCAGATTTACTGGGCTACTTACCCAAAGGCTCTCAGGCCTGGTCTACTCATAGTCTAAGGCCTGGTCTACAAAACAGGGTTAGGTCGACAGAAGGTGCCTTGTGTCAACCTGGCTGTGGAAGTGTCTTCACTTAAATTTGGCTCCCGACGACGTAAGTGCCTTTCTACACCAATTTAGTAACACCATGTCCCTGAGTGGTGTAGAGTCACAGTCGATGTAATTAGGTCAACACGGTGTCAGTTTAGACACTGCATTGTTTACGTCAACTGTTTCTGGCTTTCAGGAGCCATCTCACAGTGCCCCACACTGACAATACAATTGATAAAAGTGCTCCTAGTGAGGACATGCACCACCAACACAAGGACTCAAGGGTGTGCCCACACAAGTTATTTAATAACTGCAGTGGCTGTATGCTGATGTAAGATAGGTTGATATAATTTTGTAGTGTAGGCATGGCCTAACTGTGTCCACCACTTTAACTGTACAAGCAGTACAACTTTTGTATGTAGACAATCCTTTAGAAAAATCTTTACATAGCCCCTCCAACAAACATTTATCAAAACAGTTGTCACAGCTATTTTCCAAAATGAAGTGTTAAGCATTTACAGAAGGAGAATTCCTGTATTGCAACGTTTAAATGGGCTTTTTTTATTAAGAATTATAACAAATAAAGCAGTTTAGTTTCAGTATTTTTCTGACCAGTTTGCATGACTTCTATCAACAAGCTGCTTGATTGGGGGAAAAAAAATTCATCTGCACATAACTTTGCATATTTTAGTAATCACTTGTGCATAATTCTCAAAACCTTGATACATAATTCCTCAGTGTGTAATTAATAGTTCTCCTATGGGATTTTTGGTTTAAGGAAATCCACATCTACTGTGCTTTATATCTGCTGAGATATGAAACTCTTTTACGTCTAAGCTTTGCAAAATTACAAAGCAGAGAAAAATATGTTAAAAAAAGAAGTGATTCTTTTCTGCATTTGTGTATTTGCTGCTAAATGCGTGAAAGGCATTTCAGGATGGTCTATTTAAGCACAAAATAATAAGTGTCAGTGAAGCAGTTATATTGATTTATCAGGCCTATAAACGTGGTAATAAAGTCACACAAAGCGCAACTAGCATTTTGATTCTAAAAAAGATTGGTAGCTCCCATAAAACAAAGCTATACATACTAAGCAGGCTTTACAGATTGTCAGAGATCCACAGGGCAAAAGGTAACTTCTGTGCAACTCACTAATACTTTGCACTGTATTATGATCCTCACTGTATATGTTTTACACAGTTAGCTGGCCAGGTTTATCAATCAAACGCACTGAATCAGATGGTGATTAATGTAAACACAAGGCCTCTTTATTTTGTTTCAGCAGTACATGGGTGTTCATTCAGCACAATCAGAAACAAGCAGAACAGTGCAAAAAGCAAATACCATTATTCCAAATTCCCCCCTCCAAGACACACATAATTAGAATAGAAAGGAGGAACTGAACAACATTATTTCTGTTAAGTGTTTTCCTCAGAACAGCTGGAAAGAGAGAACCGGGACCTACGTATAACAGGAACCAGGCAGATGGGACCATTGGCCAGTTTCAGCAAAACTGGCCCAAGGAGGTGTAAATTACATGCTGGGGAGGAAGGACAAGGTGTGATCCCTAAGGAGAGCAGCCAGTATTGCTGCCATAACCCTCCCTTAAGTTGCACAAGACCTTCCCCACCACGACCTGTTAGGGGATGTGCTGAATCAGAACGTTGCCCATACTGCCTAGCACTGCTTCTTGTGCTGTCCGTGGCTCTGCAGACTAGCAGAGGTTGTATGACTGCTTTGCACAGCTGCAGCCTGGTCCCCTAGTGAATTTTCTAGTGTCAGTGATCTACACTAAGGTTTACATCAACATAGGTCATTGTCACCCTGGAATGAATCTAACCCACTAGCTTAGAACCTTACTGGACATGGAATGGGAACATAAAGATAAAGGGGGAAAGTCTTAGTGCAGATTCTCTGGGATAGGCATCCACCTCACAAAACCCACCACCATTCCCTGGTGGCAGTCTCAGCAGACAAGCTATTGAAGGCTCATCTGCATTAGAAAATGTTATTGTGTTTCAGCATGACTGGGAACCCTGGAATTAGACGAGATGATGGTGACCATGACTTTGTGGTCAGTGTAGACTAGGACAAGCCATGTTAGGGCACTCGTCTAAGATGTAGGAGACCAAAGTTCAAGTCACTGCTCCAATGACTATTTATAACAAGTGAAACAACTTCAGCAAGAGAAAGTGAGAGCTGCCCCATAACCCAGTGGTCAGGGCCCTCTCCTGCACTGTGGGATACCCAAGTTCAAATCTCTTTTCCATATGAGGCACAGGGGAATTGAACCTGGGTCTTGCCCATCCCAAGTGAGTACTCTAACCACTGAACTACAAGTTATAAGGAGGGCACCATCACCGCCATCTTCTAACCCTGTCACCATCAGCATTTTGTGAATCTAGCCCTTCAAAAATATCTGAAACAAAACATTACTAAATGGATTTTTTTTGACTTATCAAAATTTTTTGAAGTTTCTGGGTTTGGGTTGACTGAAACCATATTCTTTTTATTTTTCAGAACTGCCAGGGAACTAAAAAATCCGTTATTCACCCACTGCTAATTATAATTCTCTGGATATTCTTGATGTCTATATAAATGTCCAGTCCCCTTTTGAATCTTTTCAAGTTCTTGGTGTCACTAACATCTGTGGCAATGAGTATCACAACGTATGAAAAAGAATGACCTTCTGTCAGTTTTGAATGTCCCACATTTTAATTTCACTCAATGTCCCCTTGTTTTTGTTTATTATTTTATATTCTGGTTTCATGTTCCCTCTTACCACCTTTCTATGGAAAATAATCCCACACTTTTCAGGCTCTCATCATATGAGAAATTGCAAGCCCATTAGCAAGAATTTTTAATGAATCTGTAAACACAGGGGTTGTACCATATGATTGGAGAATTGCTAACATAGTTCCTATTTTTAAGAAAGGGAAAAAAAGTGATCCAGATAATTATAGGCCTGTTAGTTTGACATCTGTAGTATGCAAGGTCTTGGAAAAAATTTTGAAGGAGAAGGTAGTTAAGGACATTGAAGTCAATGGTAAATGGGACAAAATACAACATGGTTTTACAAAAGGTAGATCGTGCCAAACCAACCTGATCTCCTTCTTTGAGAAAGTAACAGATTTTTTAGACAAAGGAAACGCAGTGGATCTAATTTACCTAGATTTTAGTAAGGCATTTGATACCGTGCCACATGGAGAATTATTAGTTAAATTGGATAAGATGGGGATCAATAGGAAAATTGAAAGGTGGATAAGAAATTGGTTAAAGGGGAGACTACAACGGGTCCTACTGAAAGGTGAACTGTCAGGCTGGAGGGAGGTTACCAGTGGAGTTCCTCAACGATCGGTTTTGGGACCAACCTTATTTAATCTTTTTATTACTGACCTTGGCACAAAAAGTGGGAGTGTGCTAATAAAGTTTGCGGATGATACAAAGCTGGGAGGTATTGCCAATTTAGAGAAGGACAGGGATATCCCTACAGGAGGATCTGGATGACCTTGTAAACTGGGGTAATAGTAATAGGATGAAATTTAATAGTGAGAAGTGTAAGGTCATGCATTTAGGGATTAATAACAAGAATTTTAGTTATAAGCTAGGGATGCATCAATTAGAAGTAACGGAGGAGGAAAAGGACCTTGGAGTATTGGTTAATCACAGGATGACTATGAGCTGCCAATGTGATATGGCTGTGAAAAAAGCTAATGCGGTCTTGGGATGCATCAGGAGAGGTATTTCCAGTAGGGATAAGGAGGTTTCAGTACCGTTATACAAGGCACTGGTGAGACCTCACCTGGAATACTGTGTGCAGTTCTGGTCTCCCATGTTTAAGAAGGATGAATTCAAACTGGAACAGGTACAGAGAAGGGCTACTAGGATGATCCGAGGAATGGAAAACTTGTCTTATGAAAGGAGACTCGGGGAGCTTGGCTTGTTTAGCCTAACTAAAAGAAGGTTGAGGGGAGATATGATTGCTCTCTATAAATATATCAGAGGGATAAATACCAGAGAGGGAGAGGAATTATTTAAGCTCAGTACCAATGTGGACACAAGAACAAATGGATATAAACTGGCCACTAGAAAATTTAGACTAGAAATTAGATGAAGGTTTTTAACCATCAGAGGAGTGAAGTTTTGGAATAGCCTTCCAAGGGAAGCAGTGGGGGCAAAAGATCTATCTGGCTTTAAGATTAAACTTGATAAGTTTATGGAGGAGATGGTATGATGGGATAACATGGTTCTGGTAATTAAATATTCATAAATAGGCCCAATGGCCTGTGATGGGTTATTAGATGGGGTGAGATCTGAGTTACCCAGGAAAGAATTTTCTGTAGTATCTGGCTGATGAATCTTGCCCATATGCTCAGGGTGTAGCTGATCGCCATATCTGGGGTCGGGAAGGAATTTTCCTCCAGGGCAGATTGGAAGAGGCCCTGGAGGTTTTTCGCCTTCCTCTGTAGCATGGGGCACAGGTCACTTGCTGGGGGATTCTCTGCTCCTTGAAGTCTTTAAACCACGATTTGAGGACTTCAATAGCACAGATATAGGTGTGAGGTTTTTTTTGTAGGAGTGGTGGGTGAAATTCTGTGGCCTGTGTTGTGCAGGAGGTCAGACTAGATGATCATAATGGTCCCTTCTGACCTAAATATCTATGAGAATTTTTCTAGGCCCTTGATCATTCTTGTTGGTCCTCCCCTCTAATTCTGCAATATCCTTCTTGAGATGGGGGTGACAGTACTGCATACAGATGAGGCTGTACCATTGATTTATATAAACGCATTATAAATTTCAAAAGCTACACATCTTGTCATGCGTTATTGATTACCTATAGGAACACTTAAAACTATACATGTTTTGAAGTCCTTGTCTGATTATGCTGGTAAAATCTTTGATTTTTGAAACTGAAATATTCTTTAAAAGAACTCCAATTTACTTTTGTCCATTTATGTTGCTTTTTGTTGTGCTTTGCTGTCCACACTACAGGCTAAATTTAAAAGCCTGTTTCCACAGAACTTTTCTTAATTCAATGAAAATATTTCTATTCATATCAGGTTTTATAAATCCATTAAAGGACCCCCTCCTCCGGTCCCCACAACCTACACTTGAGCATAAACTACTTGACGGGGTTCCTTTAACTCTTTCCTTACTAACAGAAATTACACTCCAGCAATGAAAACATTCAGTACAAATGAACAAATACAGAATCTCTCTCTTCAGTCTACAATGCCTTCTGCTGGCAAAAATCACAGAATAACTATAAACATTAGGCCAAGGCAACATTTTAAAGTGCAGATCACCACTTGCTACACATGAATAATTCAAATAATGCTGCATAAAGCATAGGCAATATTTAGGAGCAATTTCATTAATAACTAAAAGCAGAAGTTTAACAAGTGACACAGTAAGATAAAGACATAAAATTTCAAATAGATTCCATTTATAATAAATAAAAAGTGCTGGTCTTAACATAGTATACATTAAGCATATTGGTCCAGCAAGCTAGCCTCCCACAGCCCATCTTTTTTCTGAATTGCATGCTGGCATTGAACATAAATGAAAGACACAAATAACATCAAAGATTCCATCCAGAGTCTGGGTAGACAACTGGAAGTAGTTGGTTATATGTGCTTCAGAGGTTCTCTCGCCCCCATTTGTACTCTTTGGGCCAGATGCTCAGCTGAAGTTCATTGTGCTATGGCAAGTTACACCAGCTGAGGATCTGGCTTTGTCCTTAGTTCCATTTCGTATCTTCTCTTTATGCCTTGGGGCCAGCTCATATTTTGTTTGTGGTGTATTTTTTGGGGGGGGGGGGAGGGGCGGGGGGAAGAGGTTGTGCTTTGATTTGTCTTTATTTAGGCAATTTTGTGCAAATGGTGAGGGGTGCAGAATTTCATAGAAAACCTTTGGGGGAGTAAAATTCCACAATGGGATCCTCAGTTACTTTTCCCCAAATGGTTGTGCTGCGTTTTGGCTGCTATATCTTGCAGATTTTTAGGGATCCTCTGGCACTGTAATGGGCAACCTGCAGGCCGCCGCTTCCTGCAGCTCCCATTGGCCAGGAATGGCGAACTGCGGCCACTGGCAGCTTCATACGGCTGTGCAAATGTAAACAAATGGTTTGGCGGCCCACCAGCAGATTACCCTGACAGGCCACGTGTGGCCCACCGGCCGCAGGTTGCCCACCATTGACCTATGCCAATGGGAGGCTTCTCCCATCAGCATAGGTACTCCACCTCCCCGAGAAGTAGTCGTTATGTCCACAGGAGAATTCTACAGTTGACCTAGTGCTGTCTATGCCTGGGATTAGGTCTTCGCTCAGGGGTGTGGATTTTTCACACCCCTGAACAATATATAGTTATACTGACCTAATTGCCTAGTGTAGACCTGGCCTAGAGGAAAGGTCTCTGAGGGTATTTAAATTCAAGTGCACTTCCATTGTGTTACAAAGCAATCATGAAAAAGAGGCATTAGGCCAGCAGGAGGTAAACCAACTGCCTAACCCCAGAAGCAAAATGGCAGAGCTAAAATGTAGGGAAATGTGCTCTTCAAGGGAAGAGTTTAATCACTTTTTCAAAAATTAAAAGGGCATCTTTAAACTGGAAGTGAACCAGACTGGGATTATGCCTGCCTCTGTGCTCAAACACAGATAATAGTTCCTGACAAGCACTTGCAGGAACAAGTAAATTCTATAAATTTTAAACTTCTCTGGTTTTGCTATTAAAAATCTATCTCAGTTCAAAACTATATTCTACAGGAATTACAAATACTGTGAACACACAGGGAATATTTATGGATCCTCTGTTTTTTAGCCACTCATTTCTCTCATAAAAAGGAAAAGCTTTTTATACAAAGCTGCTTGATCATTTGGAAGTTATGACAGTTGGGGTGGGAGAACTTTCCCTTTCTGGCCTTAAAAACTATAAATTTTCTTTACCAAAACTTGGTTTATGCAGAAATCATGGGGCCTGAGTCTGATCTCTCACCAGTTTAAATCAGGAGTAATCCCACTGAAGTCCATTCAGTTAACTGGTATAAACTGCTGTGTGCGAAGAGAATCAGGCCCAGAACACAACTAAAAACATGCAAGGTTTGAATTCCATTTGGCTCTGGCAATCTGTGAGCTTCAGACAGCTGCACAGTATTCATCTGGAACCTCTGCTAGAGTAGGTATACCACACTAGCTTTAATCTAACTGCCCCTGCTTTCTCTTCCACCCACCCCCCACTGCTCATGGATGTGAATTGTAAAGATGGACTTAAAAGCCTTTTCCCTTATACAAATGTGATCATCTTGCTAAGGTAAACTGTAATCTAACAAGGCTCGTAATTATTTTGCAAATTCATAGCATTAAACAAAGAAAGTGAGGTGTCACTCTTGACAATGAGGCACTGCATTTAACCAATCCCTTCAAACTTAGATGCAGAATGATCCATAGAATGTTTTGCAGAAGGGAAATGAAATTATACTGAACTTGAAAAAGGAACCACTTGCTTGCCTGCCACATATACTTCATTAATATTCCGATCATCACCTGAAACAATAAAGCCAAAAGATTTTTGCATAAATCTATACGTCTTATGCAACTAGTGTAAGTGACACAATACTCAGCATCAGGTGTGGAACTGATCACTTCCACAGACTGCAGCACCCAGCCCCCTCTTAAACTGGGAAAGGGTTCATGTGGCATGGGCCTTCTATTAGGAAGATTTCCCTCCTCTACACTAAATCTTAAAAGGACGAAACTGGCAGTGCTAGTCCTGTAGATCTAAAGGCTGGTCTACACTCAGTTTTTGCACTAATTAAAAAATTTGGTTATTCAAACAATTCCATTAAATTGATGCCAAAATTGAGTGTAGACAAGCCCTTAGTACAGCCAATCCCAATTAAAGAGTGTGTATGTTTTCATGAGAAGTGACTTCCCATCTTTCTTGCTGAGAACAAAGGCATACTACATGAAAGGGCATTGGCTCTTTATAGACTGGGCAAGTGATTTGTGTTAGCATTAATACACTGTTAAACACCACATAGCTTCCAGTGTAGACACAAATGGTCATGGTTAAAAACCTGCTAGCTGGTTGGGTTAACCTTAGCCTAGCAGATCATAGGATTTTGTGTAAAACAAATGTTGTGTAACCACATAACAGCAAAAATGCTGTACTTCTTAATTCTTATTTAAACATTTGTGATTTTAAAAAAACAACAAGGAAAAGCAATCAATCTCTATATTATGTCAGAAGATTATCTAGATAAGTATGAGATGAAAAGAATTTTTCTGTATAGTGAAGGTTGGGACATACCTAGATACAGGAACTTCTGGATAATATCCTGAAAACATGGAAAAAGCACAAATTTCAGAAAGCAGTTCCTCTCCTCCCAAAACACACCTGTATGAAACTAAAAAAAGACTGCAAAAACAAATTCACATAACACATGCTTTTTAACTGTAAAATCAAATTTTGATTTGTCTATTTGCTAATAACTATGTATCTTTTACATAAAGAGGCTATATCTCTTAGAAGAGCCAATATCAGAAAAATGTGGCACTATAAGTTAGATAACACTTCAACTATTGTTGAACTATTGTTCAAGTCATAACATTTTCCTCTCCCCACTCTTTTGTCTTCCCACTGATCAGCTAATAACCTTGTTTCATTCTGCCCATTAAAATCTTTGTTCTTTTCTCTTTACTAAATAAACCCAGCTAAAAGGTTATGCTAGCATTAAAAAACAAGTTTTATGTCACTGGAATCAACAGGTTCAAATTCATGACACTAGATTTCAGTGGAAGAGTCCTAGGGATTAATCTGGCCTATTGTTTTTACCAGAGGTAATGGGATAATGCCAACATTCAGGAGCAACTGGTCATTAGGGACTAATGGGGCTAACCCTCATGCATATTGTCACTGAGTAGTGTGGCTGATATACTGTAGGGTGCAGTATCCTGGCTGTCACTTAGGTACTCCTGGAAGAACTGGTGCTGCTTTAGCCCCTGAATGCTACAGCACCCTGTCACCTTCCTGGATCTGCAGCTTGCTGTTTTCAGTAACTTTTGGGAGCATTTCAATAACTCAGTGCTTTGATTACCTCAAAAGTATCTGCAGCAAACAAGTCAAAAGGACTGTCTGAAGCCTTGGGGTTGATCAGCAGTGCATCAAATTCTTTGCCAACTTCAAAGTTTCCAATCACATCATCTAGTCCGAGGACTGTGAAACAAAATTAGTTAATAAACAAGCCTCTGGTCTTCTGCACATTCCACTTTGTACAAGTGTCTGGCAACTTGTTTGGGATCTATGTCCAGGTGGAAACCTGCACATGTTTAGACTACTATGACAAAAAACAGACCTTTAAAATAGTGATATAACGTAACATCTGAATTCTTAAGAGACTTTTTTCATACAAAATGTCTTTCTTGGGATTAGAGAGAAACGATAGGCAAGTAAGGCAAGTGAGAATGAAATTTATGGCACTTTTAAATTTTCATTAAATATCTTTTTGTTTTACCTTTTTTACATCATCCTATGTCTAGGTTCCACTACGTCATAAAGTGATTGATTATTCTAATTTCAAACACCTAGGATGAGCGATCTCTTACATTTGCAAAAGTCCTTTCATCCTGAAGAATCCAAAAGCAAAAGAATATAAAACTACATACTTATCCCAAAATGCAGCCACTTATGGGGATAACATGGACATAATATTTGCCTACCTCGCAATGGGGATGTTAGGCTTAGTTCATTAATATCTGTAAAGTCCTTTTGAGGGTGACGGAGGGTTATATATACTAGAAAGTATTTATTATGACCATAATGTAGGTATGTTTTATTATTCTGGAAGGTGTAACAACCAATAAGCACCCAGAACGTTATTAGGGAAAATTTTGGGCCAGGACAATGGAGCACACCCCTAACTTTTTATTAAAAATGTCACGGGATGTCTAATGTCCACACAGTGAAATTGGTTTACATAATTTTATGCAATATGAACCCACTCAAGCATCATAGGTGCAAATGTTTTTTTTTTTTTTAAATTCAATGACACTTGCAATATAATGGGCTTAAACTATAAATAAAAATTTGTTTGTGTACTCAGACTAGCTTTGCAATCCCCCCAAAACTGTCCTAGCGGCTTCCACAACCTCACGCTTCAGAAGGTTCACTCTATCCTGATTTTTTTTCAAGTTCAGGATCTAACAGATCCTCACATAAAGTCAGATCATGCACAGTGCTGAGTGCCCTTAATGGCAGCTGAAAGTGCTGAGTACCTCACAGAAGGAGTGAAGCTCTAATTCTTTGGTGTGAAGGGTGCAGAGCTAAACTGACCGTGCCAGATTTGAACATGTGGTGTGAATAGTTTAGCTAATGCAACCCTGAACACAGTGTGGCCTCAGTCCTGCGCCTAGATCTGCCTGGGCAGTGCCCGCATACAGCCCCACTGATTTCAAGCATTTGCCTGTGCAGAGCCATTTGCAGGATAGAGGAGATGGCTTAGGCTCCAAGACAACTCTTGGGCAAATTCCAGTTATGTAGTTATTACGTTTTGCCTGCAGACCTATCGTTCTATAGGGCCAATCAGATAAAGCATTCTTCACTTACAGGCTGATTCAATGTCTAATGAAGTCAAGGGAAAGACTCAAATGGACTTTAATGGGCACTGGATTAGGTCCTTTAGTTTCAATGACTGGTGTCTACATAGATTGTCATAAGGCGGGCATGGTGTGCAGACTGCTTTGGGATCTCTGGGTGAAAGTGCTCTTTATAAAGTCATTCGTTATCAACTAAAACACAGCAAAAATTCTGTTGTGATGTTACTGAGTCTGCAACCAGTTTATATTTTTCTGGTTCATCTCCAACTGATCTAGCATTCTGCTAATTAATTCAACTGGGTAAATCTCACAAGAAGGTACTGGATATGAAGCCTTGCTGAAAAGAACTCCAGAGTCTTTAAGGCTGTATGTTGTCTGCAGAATTGTTCCTTGCACTTGGACAGCAGAGCATGAAATGAAGGCCAAACAGAGGGCTGAAAGGCTTGTTTTATTTGTTAGCAGGGTCTCTTTCCCTCCCTGGCCTCCCCATCCCCCCACTTTTTTTTCTTTATTATTTTGAGCCTCATACAGTAGTATAAAATGACAGCCCTTTGGGTCTGATTTTCAGAGGTGCTAAGCATCCACAGTCCCTGCTGAAGTTAATGGGATTTGCTCAGCACTTCTAAAAATCAGGGCTTTTGTCATTCTAGTCTCCTTTGAAATGATCTAGGATAATTTTAAGTTTGTATGAATAATTTGTAATGTGATATAAACTTTATAAATACCCCAAAATTGTCTTAGAAGGCATTGGGATTGCATAGGGTGTAATGTCGAAGCAGAATTTCCTCTTTTGGTTTTTTAGATGGTTAATGAGTGGCAATGGAATTTCAGCCTCTGAAGAAATTTGAGAGCTACAGACATTTCACAGCATTCTAGAGACGTTTTAAAAAAATACCAGAAATGATAAAACGTTAGCTTTGTGGAATATTAGGTTTGAATGAAATTAAACACCAAAGGTATGTCTAGACAGCTACTAGACAACTGCGGCTGGCCCAGGCCAGCCAACTCAGGCTCATAGGGCTTGGGCTGCAGGGCTGTTTAACTGCAGTGTAGATGCCCAGGCTTCAGACTGCAGGCCAGGATCTAGGACACGACAAAGTGGGAGGGTCCCAGAGCTCTAGCTGCAGCCAGAGCCCGGAAGTCTACACTGCAATGAAACAGCCCTGCAGCCCAAGTCAGCTGTCATGGGCCAGCTGCGGGTTTTCCTTTGCAGTGTGGACATATCCCTCATTCCCCTGACAGGGTATAGTGAGATTTTTCTCTAGTGTGCAGTTTCTATGTTAAACACAAGAGGGTGTTAAAAGATCAGTAGTCAAATCTAATAATAACAGCACATGTCAACAAAAAGAAATCTACATAATCCACAGTTTCCTAAACTGCAGAGGTCTAAGAGAGATAGGGGAATGTGTAAATAACTAATTTAGAAAAAGGAGATTCAATAAAATTAAAATAGTTTTAAAAATCGATATATATTATATAAGCCAGGGTCTCAAACACGCGGCCTGTGGAGTTATTTCCTTCGGCCTGCCATAGCTCCCCTCACTCCCCGCCTCCACCCCCCCAAAGCATGCCACGTCCCTGCTCCTCCGCCTACCTCCCAATGCTTCCCACTGCCAAACAGCTGTTTGGCGGCGCTTAGGACTTTTCAGGAAGGAAGGGGGAGGAGCGGGGACGCAGCACACTCAGGGGAGGAGGCGGAGACGAGGCAGGGCTGGGGCGGGAATTTGGGGAAGTGGTTGGAATAGGGGCAGGTAGGGGGCAGAGTTGGGGTGGGGACTTTGGGGAAGGGGTTGGAATGGGGGCAGGGAAGGGGTGGGAAGAAGTGGGGCAGGGGTGAGGCCTCATGCAAGGGGTGGAGTGAGGGCAGGGCCTGGGGAAGAGGGAGGGGCTTTTGTATCTTTGTATGAAAAGATGTCAGTGATGAGGCCCTCAGGCCAATATACTAGTCCTCATGTGGACCTCGTGGTGATTTGAGTTTGAGATCCCTGACATAAGCTCTATAATGGTGTGTCTCTTTTAAAGACACCATATTGCTGGAACCTGAGAACCTCAGTTAGTGGCAAATGTAGAGTAGTCCAAAATGTGACTGAGGACAATGCCTCTGCTAGTTAAACAGTATTAAATCTGTACCCGTGCTTGGATTTGCTTTCCACTGAACAGTAGAAAGTACATTAAATACCTTATTACAGAAAACATGAAGTGTAGGTATTCATTCAAAACATATCATTCACTGGAACACTGGATGTGCTGGCTATATTCCTATAGGTTAAGGATGCTACTGAGTCTCACAAAAAACATGTTGTATATGTTGTTTATACTTTCTTGGAGCTCAAGTCTGGCTGAAAAGTGATTTGGCAAGAAGGACTGTTTTGTGAAAAAGACTGTGGCAGGACTCAAAAAGAAGAAAGAAAATCATGAATGTGATGACAAGATACATATATAAGATACATGGTTTTGCAGTGATTGCGCAGTGTTTTGAAGCGTTGGCTGCTGAGAATACAAAGCATTTTAAGTTACTGCAACATTTAGAAATCCATCATCCGCAAGTGAAAGAAACGTCTGAGGGTTTAAAAAAAATGAAGAAGCACTTAGCCAGTTTGAGTAGTTGAATCTTGTTAATTTCTACCTCCAACATGAATGTCCTTCTGACATCATACGTTATCTCCATGAAAAATCCAACAGTGTTAGGTTCAGTGTTAGGTTTCATGCAGAAAATCTTATCCTTCTCTGCACAATAGATGTGATTGTAAAAGTAAGAACCAAAAAAATTCGACCAAACTGAAAGCAAGGCCATTGTCAAATAACTCCATGTTGGTGCCAAAAGTTTTACAATGGAGGGATCCTAAAATCTGGCCCCATTTTAAGGATGGAGGACAGTATACTGCAAAGCTGTAATCAAAGCATGACATACATATTCTAGAGGGGAAAAAAAAAAGTTTCTTTACCTTGGCTCCCTCCAAGAGTTGCTAGTCTGAAAGCTTCTTTAAGAGTTAAGCCTGTCTCGTTCACTTTATTAATTTGAAAGATATTAGATGCAGACATCGATTTCCTGATAGCATCAAGCATGGAGGCTGAATACCCACCAGCAACATCTACAATAGATCAAAATCTTAACAATTAGCTTTTGTTGGGGATAATGATCTGGGTGGAAACTGTATGAGTTTTAATTTAATATTACATAATGGCAGACAAGCTAAAAAGAAAAAGGTTCATTATGATGCCATCTTCAATGAGTCTATTGCCTAATTCCTAAAGAAGGTTTTATTATCTGTACATGAGCATCTCTGTAAGGGTAATAGAGATCATAAACAGAATAATATAGATTATCTTCCTACAATCTAGAAAATAATTCCAGACCCCACTCCTGTTCTTTTTTGACTAGTAGAACAAAACTAGCTTCCTTCACTTTCAAAACATGTCTCTAAAATTTTTTTTTGACCCGTTCCAGATGCAAGGCAATGGAAAATCAGGTCCACTGGTTGGGAGCATGTTAGTGCTTTGACGTGAAAATGTGGCAAGCCATTTGTGCACTAAATGGGCTCTAAATAAGTGATTCTGCAGTAAATTACTAACCTGTGCCAAGACCAATCTTCACATTGTGCTTCAAAACATTTTGTATGTTTAAAATGCCACTGCACAACCTGGATTGGAAAGAAACAGATCCTCCATGACAAATACAGAAAAGGACTTAAGGCTCATTCTTGCATTCAAGTAGTATGTAGGGGGGAGGGAGGGGTTTCCAGTGACAACAGAAAAAGAGGGCCCTAACACAGTTCCATGGCAATGTCTCTTCTGTATACTAAGCACTTCCCAAAATGTATGTAGTGGATGATGCCTACACAATAGAAATAAACAATTTGCATTCATAAACCTGAATTATAAAACCTTGATCATTAAAAGGATAAAGTAAAATTAAAATAAAAACTCACTATGCTACTTTTGTAGTCTTGTATTCATTGAGTGCCTCACTTACTGAAAATCAGGGCCTTAATATATTCAGGAAAGAAGACGGCAAAGAAGGCCAAAAATCAAAAGCAAAGATGAAGATATGCAAATTACAAACTGGCCATGTGTAACGTAATGCCATAAATGAATCAACTGAGCAGGAAGGGAAGGTTCCATGGGACTTGGAAGGTGGTTGATGGGGTTACTGGGCGTAAGGTGCATTGACACGATTGCTTGGATACTTGGCATGTCACCAGGGACCATTTTGGGGCTGAGATTGGTGACCACAGCTCTCCAGAGACCCCATGAAGGGAAAATGGTTACATTACACAAGAGGGCAGGAGCTAGAGGAGAGTAAGTGGTGGGAGAAGCCACTGAGGAGGCTATGAGTTAAGGCAAGGAGGGGGGCTAAATTCCCTGCTTCTTTAATTTACGTCTTCCAGCCTTTGGCATGAAAATAATACCAGTAAAATAAGACTTCTTTAGGGCCTGAGTTTGATCTTGCTCACACCAGTGTAAGTCAGGAGTAAATACACTGAAGTCAATAGAAGCGGTTAAATGCTTTTGAAAATCACGTCACTTATTTAGTCGCCTAAATAAACACTAAGAGCTTAGCTGCAGGCTTCCATTTTTAATATCTTGGCCTTCTTTCATATATAATGTGATATGTTGATGTAGAAAGTCAAGATAGTTGATCTATAAATATGAAAAATAAAAACAAAATCCATTTTATGATAAAATCTGTTTCAGGAGAACAGTTTAAACAAATCTGGGATTCCCTATGGAGCCAATTAATTGAGGCTACTGGGTTGCAGGGCTTGTCTAGTTCTAGAGAAATTATGCAACACTCTAATGTAAAACCACTCCACTAGAGCAAAATGGGGCTTGCCCCAGTGTGACTTATCTTGGTAACATGCAGTGACAGGTTTCAGAGTAGCAGCCGTGTTAGTCTGTATCTGTGACAGTGTTCCCAGGGTAAGTCACACCTGTGCAAACCCTAATGTAAACAAGCATGGAACTAGAGCTGTGCAAGAACTGGAATTTCTATTTCATGGGCAATTGCATGATTTTGAAATCTGTTTTCAGTCCAAATAAGAACACAATCAGAAAACTGAGAAATTTCCTGAAAAGTATTTTTGTTTTGAAGTCAAATGTTTAGTTCAAATGTTGATATTTTTATATTATAATATAAAGTAAATTTTGAAACAAAAGGTTGTTTTGAAATGGGAAATTATAACATTCCATTCCAATGAGAACATTGTCAGAATGCTTTGTTTCGCTTTTTTAAAATAAAATTTAATCAAAATCAACACATTTCAGGAAGCTTCAATTTTGACAAAACAGCATTTTTCAAATGAAAAATGTTCCATTGGGAAATTTTTGATCAACTGTACATAACACAAACCTCACTAATCTGGACAACCCCTCAGTATGCAACATTCTTCCCTTGTACCTTCCCCAAACTGCTCGGCCATGTCAGCTGGGTGCTATTCAGTCCTACAAGGAATATGTGGAGAGAGTGAGGGAACAGTAGACGGGGATTTCCTGTAAACCAGAGGTGAGAGTGGGGGTTTCCTGCTAAATCTGTAATGTGCTTCAACAGGGGGCAATGTACTAAAAGGGGAGAGATCCCAATTCTTACAGTTCAATGTATGACCAAAGAGCTCTGTCAGCACAAAGCAGTTCCTATTCCACATCATGCAGCAATGGAACATGAGCGAGTATTCCTCACTCTAGTGCAGGGTAGTCAGTAGGCAGACTGAGGGACAAATCTGGACCCCCAGATGCTTTTGAATGGACCCCCAAATCTTTTTATTTACTTATAGACATGATTATTGGTGTTGTTTTATTATTTTATCTGGAGTCTGGACCTTGACCAAGAAATTTGGACCTTGACCAAAAAAATTGACTACCCCTGGTTGCCCATGGTCCTATAAATCCTGACATCTAGTCACTACAGGTAGAAGTGATGCCACTGAACCACAGCCCTGCCTATTGTATCTCATTAGCTATTTCTTTACTTACATAAAGTTTGAATTGGGGCAATGGGCAATTGCAGCTCCTCGAAGACTAAAAAGTTTCAGCTCTTCGTCAGAGAGATGACAGCCATGGGCCATCACAGTCTGGAGAGAAACAACATAACACAGAAATTACTTTTTTTTTTTTTGCCTGTGAATTTATTATTATTTTGTTTTTATTATCCACAATGCCATTTCCCATTGTCAGAGGCAAAGCGTGTATTAAGGACTTCATCCAAGACCTATTGAAGTCAGTAGAAACCTCCCATTAACATGAGTGAGCTTTGAATCAGGCCTTAAATGACTAATCACTTCCCTTGGCTTTCTCTCCTTGCTTTAGATGAAAAATAATGGAGCTGATTCTTGCCCTGGCTCTATAGCTGGTCACACAGGAGCCACAAGGGACTGAGCAAGAATTCCCCAGGTGCATGAGCAGTGTACGTCTGATTTAATCACCCTTATGCTGCACCCCACACAGCCCTGAGATAGGGAATATGCTGGGGTACACTGAGGACAAGAGGATAGCACTAAACACTACAGAGATTCTGGGTTTGTTTCCTGCAATCCCGGTTTATGTTTTGCACAAGTATATCGGCTCTCGAACGTTTTTAAATTAAAGTTTGGTGTGGTAATTAAGTTTTTTTTTTCTTTTTGTAAGCTCCTACAATGTGGATTTAAAAAAAACACAATTTATAACATACTATATATATATGTGTGTGTATATATATATATAAAGATCCTATACCTATATGCTTTATGTTATTTAACATGGACATAAACCCAGTGCTCTCCAACCAGCAGTCTGACATTTCAAAATATAACAAGTATCTCTCCCTTGCCCCAAATAAATCTCAGTTATTTTTTTAAAGTATTTGGCGTCATCTTTGGAATGATCAGATTTCCTGGAGGAGCCAAAGGGCTATACTGTTCATTTCACTGTTTTAGAACACAGTATGTTAGGGTGCCCAAAAGCTTAAAATTGCTTTTGTAATTTGGGTAAAGGGCTTGCAGCATTTTGGATCACAGTAGAAGTGTGTTGATGAAGTATTTATCTGTCACACACTACTTTATGGCTGAGGCATGCTACCTAGCCTGTGAAGGTGTCAGCATCTAGAAATATAGTAAAAGTTTTGGACAGTGATATTTTGCACAGTGAACACTCAACGTTTACAGGGACTTCAACTCAGCAGAAAACTTAAGCATGTTCTTAACTTTAAACACTTGAGTAGTTCCACCTGGGTAGTCCCATTGGAGTCATGGGCTGGATTCTCTATTCTGCGGAGTCTACCTTGCGCCACATAATTATGCCAGATGCCCCCTCCATACCTGGTGTAGGAGTGAGAGTGGCTATGGCAGAGTGGAACTCTGCTAGGCCCAATCTTCTGCTGACAAATAAGTTACAACTGTTCCCTTAAAGCCCTAACTTGCACAAGGGCCATCTGGCTCAGGACTCCCTAAATTCAGACTCAGTCGAAAATCCAGCCCAATGAGACTGGTCACATTTAAAGTTAAGCACATGCATAAAGTTATCCACTGAATCAGGTGTTAGAGAAGAAAAACCCTTCATCTCCAAACCTGCAAATGTGTATTTTGAAATGTTGGCATTACTTGTTAAAAAGTAAAACACAATGACATGTTGTTTTAGAAATTTTTACTCTTTAATTATGATTAGTTTTAAAGGAACAATTTATAGAGCAAGGAGTCTTGTGTCAGAAAGCACTGTTTGGTTCCTAGATTTTCCATAGGAATGTTCAATGCTTTACATAACAGTACAACAGGGCAGGGATATGTACTTTAGTAAGTCCTGTTTTATCATTAGTCAGCCTTGATCTGTGGTATTGTCAGGTGCATAACAGCTTATTGTGCATAGACTTTATCACTGTATGATAAGGGATGTTAATACTGCATTATAAACTAGTAATTTTATATTTATTTGTCTAATAAAAATGCTGTGTAGATGTGTACACTTGGAGGAGGCTTCCCAAGGCACAAAGTTCAGTGCCTCATTCCCAATGTCTTTCCAACTGCCCTTTGTGCCTTGGAAAATCTCCCCCTAAGATTTTAAATGTTTGACAATTTTAAGAAACATATGCGTATTTCTGCCCCAAATGTACATGTCAATATAAACCTAATAGTAACACTAAACACAACTGTATCCACTGATAAAGCAGAAGTTGACATTGCACCCTTAAAATATAGTTTGGAAAACATCACACACTCAAGATGTGTGTGAAAAACTGGGGATTTATATTGCCACTAGTTCAAACACACACGTAGACAAACAAGTTTTTATGCAACTTATTAGGAATTTGTAAACATCATTTGAAATATCTTGAAATTGCATGTTTACTACTCAGTGGGAAAAAAAGCGCGGGTGGGACAGGAGCTAGTAATAAAAATTAAAAATGTGCAATTCATATAATTTTAAAATGAAGTGGATCATACACAAGTCAAAAGGCCAAACCCTCAGGCAGCAGAAAGGGGTAGGAAAACTACAAGAGCAGGGTAGCTGGAGATTTCTCTGGGGAAATCCCCAAATGCTGCACAGACAGTTCTAAACCATCTGCTCCTGTTCCTTCTCCACCTCACTTCTCTAGGGGGCCATTACAAACCAGATTGGAGCACAAATTGTCTTTACCTGTGTCCTCTCCTAAAGAGTGCTGAGCATAGCTCTGGCATACCTGACTATTTAAAGCTTTTATTGTCTGTGATCAGTAAGTATCCCTATAGTAAATCATAGTTACATTATCTTCTCTCAGATTTCATTGCATCTCCTTGGATATACAGCAATGCAACTCAGTCAAGCCTGAGGGCAGTGAATAAAATTCACCAGTATATTGTCCATATTGATAAATCTCATAACCTATACTATAGAGTGTTCCATAACACTACCTTGCTTGTAAGTAGCTTGTTTTTATCATATAAATCAGCATAATTTTTATAGGCAGGAAACATTTGCTCCACAAGTTTGATTTCTCCATCATTCTCGCTTATATGACTCTGTAAGGGGGGAAAAAAACAGTAATCAGTATTTGCTTTTTTATTTAGATTTAAACAATACAAACTGACCATACAAATACTCTGGGTGGCCTAACAGTTAACTAGACTTGCAACTGTGATGCTGGCAGATCAGGTGTCGGCTCATGCCAAAGCCCTAAGCCTCAGTGAACACTGACAAAGAGATAGCTGGAAACCAGGCTGGCTTACTTGTGCGTTAGCATTGTTAAGATAAATATTAGAGTTGTAAGAATGTGTTTGGTGATTAGGTCTTATGAATAGTGCAGGATGCTGCATGTATTGATCTCTCTCATAACCTCTGTAGTACATCCTTTGCATTGTAAACATCTGTAATTGTGTAACTCACCGAACAGGAAAGAAGCATTAATTCGTGTAAAGTGCTGGTCATGCAGACAAGAGGGCCTTTGAAACCAAAGGAGCCATTGTAAGACATCACAATGCCAAAGACTTTGTTGATTGCCTTCCCCACTCATATGAAGAGGGGCCAACACTTGTTCTATCAGTTTGGACTCTGGGGAAAAGGGGATGAAAATCCCTGATAAGGAGAAACTGGATCCTTATGCTATCTAGAGTCTGAGGAGCAAAGATTCCTAAACATAAGCAAGAGATCCCCATGCTGTTTGGCATGGGTCAGCCTCAAAGGACATGTAGAGCTGCTTATTATAGAAGATCATATTACCTTTTAAATCTAAGACTGGTACTCATTTGTGTGCATTTGTTTCCTATTTTAACCTTGTAAATAACAATCATTTATTTTCTTAATTAATAAATCTTTAGTTAGTTCATTACAGGATGAGTTACAAGCATTCTTACTGGTGTGAGATCTAAGGTGCAAAATTGACCTGGGCAAAGTGACTGGCCCTTTGGGACTAGAAGTAACCTGAATATTTTTTGTCTCTGGTGTAAAAAGTGACTATCTGTCACACAGACAAGCTTGCCTGGATGGCAAGAGAGATCAGAATGCCCAAGGGTACTGTCTGTGACCTCACGTTAAGGCTGTATAGTGCCTGAGGAGTTTACACTAGTTACTGGGTGGATGAAATCTAAGTATAGAACTTGCAACCATTTGGGACCTCTGTCCTTTTTTGGGGGTCTGCACTGACATTGGCACTCATGGTCATGAGCCACTCCAGACAGCATGACAACAATCACAGAACGATGGCTAGACACTTTGTGCTGCTCTGCTAGTGCAAAGCAATTCTAAACCTGTGGACTCTGTCCCTGGAAGGTCTCCCCACCACAGGAGAAATCCTCAGATGGCACAGCATCAGTATAGCAGCTCCTACACTCCTCTTTTCCTAAACCTGGCATGCGTGGGACCAGGAAAAGGGGGTATGGCTGGGGTATCCAAGCACCAGGAGCGCAAGTACGGTGGAACCCTCCAGTACCACAAGAGATTTCTATTCAGTATGGGGTACCGGAAAGACGTGGGGCTGCCGGATGGCCCCACGCCGGCAGCTCCACACCTTCCCCCCACCCCCACAGACCTGTGTAGCCCTGCTGGAGGTCATGTCTGGGGTGGGCAGGGCTGCGCTCTGCTCCTTTTCCCGCTGCCGCAGCAGGGAAAGGAGCAGAACGCAGCTATGGCATTCATTCTTAACAGCACAATACATATACTAACAAACTGAAACCAAGGCTTTGTTTAAGTTTGTTAGCATATGTACTGCTGTTTTACGTTGGTCAGGAACAAGTCAAAGGCACAGGAGTTGGTCATTCGTGTCCTCCACCCACAAACAGTGCTATTAAGAAGCTGACTGAAATCAGTATGGGCACAGAACTAAAGGACTTAAGTGGCCTGGTTGACTGGATAAATGAAAGATGCACTTCTGGGCAGCAGCTCTTGTGGTTTTGCAGGCTGAGCAGCCTCTGTCCCTCCATATCTGGCTACATGCCTTTGGGGTTTGTTTTCTATTCCGCATGTGACAGCATGTGACAGCTGCTATTGTTTCCAGATGTGACCTTCATGTTCTGGAAAAATGTCTGATGATGAAGCTGGCACTACAAGATGAATCTAATACCAAACAATAAAATAGGGGAAATATGTAGGTCTCTGTCCAGAATAATATACAAGGGAGTTCAATCTAATTATGCAACAAGAAAATTTAGCTAACCTGTAGTGAAAAAAAATAAATTTCCCCTTGTAACACTTGGAGCTATGTTAGACCAAATATAGGGCTGAAACACTGGGGGAATTATTGTTTATAAGCCACTGTCTAGAAACAATGCACTACACCTGGCTAAAAGAGAGAACTCAAAGATCAAGAATGATTCTCCTATAAATCTTTCCTCCTTACATTTCCTCTCCTTTTCTCCATTCATATCTTCCTTCCCTCTCTGCTCCTTCCCTTATCTGTATCCTTGTGTGCGGTAGATGTGACGGTTTTATGTTTTGTGTGTATTGTATCTTTCGATTTCTAGGAATTTTTCACATCTGCAGAGCTCATTGCCTGTTTTGTTCCCAGAGGTGCTCAGTGTCCATAAACCAGGAGACATACAAAGACTTTGTTCTCCCGTGAAGATTTTATTTTTGTTGTTTTCCTTTGTCAAAAGTAAAACTCATTTGAGGTTGAAAAAATTTATGCTTTATTCTTTGTATGTGGAAGCATAGTATCCCCTTTTATAGTGGAGTGAGATTTGAACAAAGTTCCAACAGATGGAAAATCAGTTGCATTTTACAGCTGGCCTCAGTGTGTTTAAGCATTAACCTGAATGAGTGCCAGTGTGCCTTCACTGACTACGTTCAAAGGTGCAGTCACACCCGAACAGCTAAAAATTAACCTTGCCCTTTTAGGCTAAACAGAGTCATGTCACTGGCTCCATCTCTGTTGTTACATAAGAAATATCAAAACTCCAGTGGGGCATGGTGCTGGCACATAGGGTCTCAGGTACATGGTGTGATTTTTTTCAGAATCACTTTTAGGAATAGTCATGTACGTGAAATAGCTGGTACTTATGGTTGTGCTATTTCTATGCATGTATATTCACCTTGGTATCTGAAGTTATGAATATTAGCTATGTTTACTACATGTTTGTTCCTGTGGTAATGCCCACAAGGTATTTAGCCAGCACATGAAGGGACAAGTCAAGTCGAATGGCCCATTAAGGAACACTTAGCTCAAAATGGACCCTGGAAAACACCTGTCTACATTTAATGGTCTTTTCCTGTGAACGTTGTAACTACAATATGGTGGGGGTGATGGACATGTAACTTGCCCATGTGACTCCAAACACCATCTTTCACAGTGAGAACAGATTTCCCTTCACTTGGCAGAAGCTAAAAGGTCCTGAAAACATCTCCACTGTGCCTCTTTCCTGCTCAAGCCTCTGGACTATGAAATATACTAATGGGCGCATTCTAACCAAGGGACTGAGGTCCTTCCAATGATTTGGAAGCAACCAGAGACTTGACATAAGCCAGCAGTTTATTCCATCACTGCTACAAATCTGATCCAAGAACTTGGCAATCATTTTGTGCTTAATTCCTTTAACCAGAGCCATCCCTAGGGTTGCCAAGCCAGCTCCTTTCAGCTGGCTAAATTCACAATCCCAGCAGCCAGACTCGAACTCTCAGCCTCCCTCCGGAAAGGTAAAGCAGTTGCATTTCCACTAGGCAGCTTTGCTTTCCTAGTGTCTGGTGGAGAGCAATACTCAGATAAAGGCAAGATGGCAGAAGCTTAGTTTGGACATAAGGGAGACACTGATAGTGTGTTAAGGGAAAGTGAGGTGATTGTCCTTCCTATCCTTCTTTCATTTAAGAAGTTTTCAATTTAGGGATCCTCAATGACACCTGGAAGTACAGGTAGCACCAGGGGCCCAAAGCATTATTTTACAACTGCATCTGTTTAACAGATGCAGTTGTAAAATTTTAGGCAGGTATGGGGGCTGGCAGAGGGGGCAGGAAGAGCGTGGGGGCCCCAGGCTGGGGGTGGGGAGGAATCACATGGAGGGTCATGTGCCTCACTCCCTGTATCCCTTCCATGAGTGCAGTACCGGCAAGAAATGATTTCTACTTGCACCACTGCCCAGCACAGCAATCCCAGATGCCACAATAGCCCCTCAAGGTCACTGGTGGTTGGCAAATGTTAAAGCAGCACTTTGGACCAGTGGGATAAGGAGTGAAGTGCCAGACCAACACAGACTAAATCCAGGTTCAGGGCAGCACAAAGGAGACCTTTGCCCCCACTTCCTCTGATCTGCTGTGTACTCCTCTGGTGTGGCTAAGAATCTCATCCATTCTGTGCTGTCTCTGGAACATATGTTTCCAATATTTACAAATATCCCTTCTTGGAATGTTAAATAACCCAAAAGTAGTTTGAGTATAGTATGTAATTAAGACTGTGTAACCAAAAAGTGTCTGCCAGCTGTAAGCTTTAAAAAGCACTTTAATTCTAAATTGCAGGAACTTAATGACACAGTAAGATGCACTTCTCTTTTAACAATGTTAAATTAAGATGCTTTGAATACAAAGGTTCATTCTTTTCTGTGCTGAGATCTGCTTTGTGCAGGAGAAATGAGGAGCTATTGGTTATAGTTCTCCAGGATGATCTCACCTATGCCTGAGCTGGCACAGGGATATAGCAGCAACATTAAACAAACAATTGGTTATGGTCCCCAAAGATCATGCACCAGCTGGCATTGCTGAAGCACACACTGGTCCAGCTATGACCCCCCCTCCCCCGCCCACTCCCTGTGTTGGAGAGTGCAGGGGGCTGACAACTTCCGTGGAATTTAAAGACAGACTCAAAGTTAAGTGTTTTGCTCAACTGGGCAGTATGACAGATATGGCAATTTCCTGCAATATCTTTGGGAGATCTTATTGAATTAAGTTTATGCATCTTTGAAGTTCATTGTGTTAAATGCAAAGGTTATGTATGTAAGGGCCTCAGTGATCAACAGACTACATTGAACAATGTGGCAGACAAGAATGAACTTTCGAGAAAATGCATGTGAAGTGGATTTCCTGGGAAATATCTAGGGGGAAGTTAATGAAAATCCCCACCCCTGCCTCTGGTTATGCAAAATCCCAACCCTGTGAAGCTATGCCCTGAGGAAAGAGAGACTGTCTGCCTATTACCTGTTCACAGGGTCCCAAGCTCAAAGGTCCAAACTGTATAAAGGAGTGACTCACATATTTATAGGTGTGCTTGTTCTGAGCTAACAGCTGAAAACCCTTGGTGGGGTTTGAAGGACTGGCCAGACCCCATGTTGGAGAAGGGGGGTGATCTTCGGTAAGCTTATCAGTTTGCGTGTATGTTCCTTTATTGTTTTAATACGTTTTCCCTGTAATGCTTTTACCTTAAGAATAAATGTGCTTGCTTAGAAAAGGCGATTGGTAACTTCTAACTGAGGGCAATTACACTGTATATAGCCTTGGAGGAGAAATCAAAGCAGGCCTTGTTAGGCAATCTGACTTGCTGGGGAATTCACAGAGTAGGCAGGGAACTGCACAGCCTGGTAAAACCCCAGTCAGGAGAGACAGACACACATGTATCCATCCGAGACAGGTGAGATGAGGATCTGGGAGTCTAGTGTGGGTGCCCTTGCTGGGCCGTGAGAAGGAATACAGGTGTAGTTGCCCTGAACTATAACAGGCAATATCAGATAAACAGTGAAGCTTTTGAAACTGATTTCTCATGAATGTTTCCTGACCTGTGAGTTTTCTCCCAGTGAAAAAAGTTATTTAGACAGCTCACAAATCCTACCTGCACATGAATATCATGAGCCTTCGCAAAGTCACCAAGTCTACTCAGCAACTCCTCAGTGCAGGAAGGTCCAAAACGAGGCGTCACTATGGGTTGTACCTTTTGATACTGAAAATATTCAAATTGCATACTTGAGATTGCAAATAAGAATCCGTATATCAGGGCCAAGAGTGCACTGACCCGCTAGCTTATATGATGATGAAAAAGGAGTGGGCTTTATTTTGTATTGTTTTCTTTTCCTACTGCATCCATTGCTCATATGAATGAATCTCTATACAGCAATTTTCTGATTTTTATTACAACCATTGTCACAGGAATAGAGAATCAAAGTTTTTTCAGTAAGTCATTTTAGTGGACTATAAAGATTTTTTCTATAAGCAACCTTCCCTGAAATCACTGAGATTTTAACTGGACTGGAAAAATATATTCATGTCCATTGTCAAAAGGCAGCCATGCATTGGCCAGTAAGGGGTGAATTAGGTAATTTAATAGGCCTTTCCCATCTCTGATTTCTATGATCCAGATTGTGCCACTAAGTGTGTCTACACTACAATAAAATACCCGGTGCATGGCCCCTCGGGCTCGTGAAGCTTGGGCTGTGGGGCTATAAAATAGTAGAGCAGACATTTGGGCTCAGGTCGTGGGGTCTCAGAGCCCGGGCTCCAGCCCAAGCCTGAATGTCTACACTGCTATTTCTAGTCAGGCAGCTTAAGCCCTGTGAGTGCAAGCCAGCTGACTCAGGCTCTTGGACTTGGTGCCACAGGTTTTTTATCACCGTGTAGACATGACTTAAGACACAGCTTGAAGTAGGGGTTGATGCAGGTTGCAGGTAGTTCCAGGAAGCACCGGATTTCCTGTGCCTTCCTCTTGTTCCAGTTTCTCCACTCTATGCAGGTGCATTGGCTACAATCTGGCTCCTGACTTCCATAGACAGGAAGATTAGTGAGATGACCAGACATATCAAGCAAGGAAGGCATTTGTGACCTATAATATACAGGAGGTCAGACTATAATATGATCTACTGGTCCTTTCTGGCCTTAAACTCTAGGCCTCTAAGATAACTGTACTCAACAAAGTAGAATTAGCCATTAAATTTAAGCACGGCATTTTGGGTTGAAGATTGCCAACAGAATAGCAAATAGCATAACAGTCAAACTGCAGCTGGGCAAGTGCCTGGCAACTACTGTTCTCCCTGATGGCCCTCACGTGCAGCATGCCAGCCTGTCGCTGTGCATGTGACACCACTAGAGAAAGTGCCCGATGTTTTGGCCTGCAGTCTCTTCACCTCAGCTCCCAGCTGCAGTTTGAAAATCAGGTCACTGATTTCATAGAATCATAGAATATGAGGGTTGGAAGGGACCTCAGGAGGTCATCTAGTCCAACCCTCTGCAAGAAGCAGGACCAATCCCCAATTTTTGCCCCAGATCCCTAAATGGCCCCCTCAAGGATTGAACTCACAACCCTGGGTTTAGCAGGCCAATGCTCAAACCACTGAGCTATATTTAGGTAAGTAAATATGGATTTAGGTGCCTAACTTTAGGCATCAAGCTTGAAATCTTGGCAACAAGTGTCATACAAATGAAACCACTGAAAAAAGAAATGTAACAAGGAAAAGCCGTAACATTCCTTGACTATAGTAACAGTGCCATAAAATATATCTGCAGTTTTTCTTTAGAATCTTCTTCACACACGTGACCGAATGTACTGATCCAAAAAACTAATGTGGAAAAGGATTATTAACTTCAGTGTAAAGTTGTGGCACCATACTGCCATTATCTTAAAACACAACTATTTTTTTCTGAGTTAAACAAAGATTTCTCTTCATAGCATGGTTTATAAACAGTGAAATAATTTATTAGCTTATTTCTTCCTATGACCATAGAATTGTTCTTTATAGGAAGCTGAGCAGTTTTTAAGAAAATAAAAATTATTTTTCCAAGTATAGTATTCTGCAGTGCTCTGACCAAACAATATTGAATGTATGGTGTCACACTGATATTTGCCAACTCAAACCCACAGCTCCAAACAGGTTTGTGCAGATTCAGGATATAATTGGTCAATGAATCTATCTTTACTGATTTGTCACTAGCGTTAACAATTTTATTCATTCAAACTGGATTGTTTTCTTCCAAATCTTCATTTTATTGCCATAGAAAAAACGGAATGCAAAAGTGAATATAAACAAAGAAGTGAATTTTTGCCATTTCATACAGAGCAAATAGGGGAAAAAAGTACACGACAGTATGTAAGTTATGCTGCTGATAAAAAAAAAAGCAACTCTACTTACTTTCTTTTCTAGTAGTTCTCTAACAAACCTGAAGGGGAAAAAAGTAAAAACCAGTATAATAAATTAAGAAATCTAGGAAAAATATTTACCTTTAATGTTTAATTAAGTGCTTCACATGTGAATCAGTTTTACGTAGAAAGTTGAAAATGGTAATGGCCACTTTCGGAGCAAGTGTAAATCAGCATAGATCTATTGAAGTCAGCAGAACTACACCAATTTTCACCAGCTGAGAATCCGGCCCTAAATATGCAGAAGTTTTATCACTTGTAGTAATTAACCCCAGACATGTGGTAATTACTCTGTGTTCTCACTGGAAACCAAATACATGTTATACTAAATCAATGGAAAGCATGATTATATGCTATAGCAGCCCTATTAAAAAAAGACATCTTAATTTTGGCTGCACATGAATTTAAATCAGAGCATAGAATCTATTCTATTATTTAAAATCCTATTTTTAGAACATTGCAATATTTTATGCTTCATTTACAGTAGTTACATATATTGAGATTTAAACTGATAGACGGTCTATCCTTCATTCACTTAACATGCCCAGAGGGGTATCCTTTTATTTTCCAGGGAGCATTTATGTACATTTTAGAGTGTGCAATATTTACACATTTGAAAACATAATGTGGATTTATTTGTTCCATTCAAAACAATAGAGTAAAGCACAAGTGTCTCTACAAATATATATACATTTTTAAAATCAGGTCAGGACATTAGAGTTGAGCAAAAGCTGGCCCCCAGATCATACCATGTCCCCACATTTTGGAAGGTGGGAGTATTCTGAGGGCCTGTGATGCAGGGAGACAGGATTTTAATGTTCCTGGGGACCCACCCAGTGGGTGTCAGGGTGGCGGCAGAAAAGGTCCTTGGTGTCTAGAGGTTCACCAGGGACAGAGGTTCTTGCAAATCTTGGACAGTTCAGGGGTTTACAAGGAAAACTGAAACGAATCAGTTTCATCTACTGTAGTTTCAGGTTTAAATACAGTTTTTTTTATCAAGACTTCAGACTTTCCCACCTACTTTCCTCCCAGTTCTGCCCACTTACCACTTTCTCTCCACACTTTTTGGTACAAGATAAATGCAAGGTATTTATATATCACCTCCATATATGCGATCGAAGCAATTCGCTGTAAGTTATTGGAATCTATGTGATAAATTATGGGACTATGTGGTAAACCACATTTATTTCATTCTTTTGACTTCCTAACCTAACTATGCTCACGAATTTACCGCTAATATTCTAAAACTCTGAGCAGTTCTCAAATCGTGACCATATTTAAAAAAAAATTAAGTTGAACATGCCAAAAAAGTTTCCTTTTTTAATAGAAAGGAAGAGTTTTTTTTCCCCACAGTTCATGGCTGAAGTCCAGGTCACACAAAAGCAAACCTTCCAGGCTGGACACAGCTATCTTATCCATGAGAGTTGGAATTCCTCTTTTCCAAAATTATAGAGTATCCATTCTTATTATAGTCTTGAGATACTGAATCTCAAACATGACAGGAATGTACAGAAAAGCCGTTTTAGATCATTCTGATGTTTTAAACAAGAACCGGAACTAAAGGTCCTCTCTCTCTAATGCAGCAGTTCTCAACCTGTGGCCCAATTAGCGCACAGCTGTGGCCCAGCTCAGCTGGGTGCTCAAGGCAAACCCGCATGGCAGAGTCCGGGTTCCTGGCTGCCCAGCACAGTGGGGTCCAGGCTGCCCCGCCGCCCAGCATGGCGGGGTCAGGGTCAGGTCGGGGCTGCCAGCCCGCCCCACATGGCGGGAGTCCAGGGTTGAGGCTGCCAGCTGGCCCCATGGGGTCGGGGGTCCGGGGCAGCTGTGGGGTTGGGGGTCTGGAGCGGCCAGCTGGCCCCACGTGGTGGGGGGTCCGGGATCTGAGGCAGGCAGCCCCCCGGCTCTACACAGCGGGGGTTGGGATCCGGGCTACCGCTGACCTACCACTCAGCCCCTGCGGCCCAGGTAATACAGTGTGGGACACATATGCAGCTCACAATGATAAATAAGTTGAGAACCACTGCTCATATGCCTATACTTCTGCAGTTGGTATTAAGGAAACCTGGGTGAACAGCCAAGGGGAAAAAACATTAGTACAATACTAACACCAGTTTTTAAACCTTTTTTTAAAAAATACCTCTTCTTTAAATATATGCCATTAAAAAAAATCCATGAAAATTTGCAGTGGTAAAAAGATTTTACTAGCATTCACCTGGGATAACCTACGTAAGTAATGTGGAAATTCCAGACTCACTCCACAAAGTATTTAGATTGCTGTATGTTACATTATCCTGTATTCCCAATATGGTCCTGATCCTGCAAAACACTTAAGCATGTGTGTGACTACTCATATGAGTAAAATTACACATGTGCTCAAGTACTTGCAGGGTAGTGACCTGTATATTCACAAAATGGCTCCCAGATCAGCATTCATCCATTTTCCCAATCTGGTGCCCAATCTAATTCATTATTCTCCGGGGGAAGGAGACCAAAGCCTTGAGGTAAGTGGGAAAGCGGGATACCGGGAGGAAGCACAGGCAGGAATGTCTGTGAGGGGAGGGCTCCTGCCTCATACTGAGAATGAGGGGCCATCAGCAGGTTATCTCAAGTGCTTATATACGAATGCACAAAGCCTTGGAAACAAGCAGGGAGAACTGGAGGCCCTGGTGATGTCAAGGAATTATGACGTGATTGGAGTAACAGAGACTTGGTTATAAACTGTTCAGGAAGGACAGGCAGGGCAGAAAAGGTGGGGGAGTAGCACTGTATGTAAGGGAGCAGTATGACTGCTCAGAGCTCCGGTACGAAACTGCAGAAAAACCTGAGTGTCTCTGAATTAAGTTTAGAAGTGTGAGCAACAGGAGTGATGTAGTGGTGGGAGTCTGCTATAGACCACCGGACCAGGGGGATGAGGCTTTCTTCCGGCAGCTCGCAGAAGCTACTAGATCGCATGCCCTGGTTCTCATGGGTGACTTTAATTTTCCTGATATCTGCTGGGAGAGCAATACAGCGGTGCATAGACAATCCAGGAAGATTTTGGAAAGCATAGGGAACAATTTCCTGGTGCAAGTGCTAGAGGAGCCAACTGGGGGGGGGAGCTTTTCTTGACCTGCTGCTCACAAACTGGGAAGAATTAGTAGGGGAAGCAAAAGTGGATGGGAATCTGGGAGGCAGTGACCATGAGTTGGTTGAGTTCAGGATCCTGACACAGGGAAGAAAGGTAAGCAGCAGGATACGGACCCTGGACTTCAGGAAAGCAGACTTCGACTCCCTCAGGGAACGGATGGGTAGGATCCCCTGGGGGACTAACATGAAGGGGAAAGGAGTCCAGGAGAGCTGGCTGTATTTCAAGGAATCCCTGTTGAGGTTACAGGGACAAACCATCCCGATGTGTCAAAAGAATAGTAAATATGGCAGGCGACCAACTTGGCTTAACGGTGAAATCCTAGCGGATCTTAAGCATAAAAAAGAAGCTTACAAGAAGTGGAAGGTTGGACATATGACCAGGGAAGAGTATAAAAATATTGCTCGGGCATGTAGGAATGAAATTAGGAGGGCCAAATCGCACCTGGAACTGCAGCTAGCGAGAGAGGTTAAGAGTAACAAGAAGGGTTTCTTCAGGTATGTTGGCAACAAGAAGAAAGCCAAGGAAAATGTGGGCCCCTTAATGAATGAGGGAGGCAACCTAGTGACAGAGGATGTGGAAAAAGCTAATGTACTCAATGCTTTTTTTGCCTCTGTCTTCACGAAGAAGGTCAGCTCCCAGACTGCTGCGCTGGGCATCACAACATGGGGAATAGATGGCCAGCCCTCTGTGGAGAAAGAGGTGGTTAGGGACTATTTAGAAAAGCTGGACGTGCACAAGTCCATGGGGCCGGACGAGTTGCATCCGAGAGTGCTAAAAGAACTGGCGGCTGTGATTGCAGAGCCATTGGCCTTTATCTTTGAAAACTCGTGGCGAACAGGGGAAGTCCTGGATGACTGGAAAAAGGCTAATGTAGTGCCAATCTTTAAAAAAGGGAAGGAGGAGGATCCTGGGAACTACAGGCCAGTCAGCCTCACTTCAGTCCCCGGAAAAATCATGGAGCAGGTCCTCAAGGAATCAATCCTGAAGCACTTACATGAGAGGAAAGCGATCAGGAACAGCCAGCATGGATTCACCAAGGGAAGGTCATGCCTGACTAATCTAATCGCCTTCTATGATGAGATTACTGGTTCTGTGGATGAAGGGAAAGCAGTGGATGTATTGTTACTTGACTTTAGCAAAGCTTTTGACACGGTCTCCCACAGTATTCTTGTCAGCAAGTTAAAGAAGTATGGGCTGGATGAATGCACTATAAGGTGGGTAGAAAGTTGGCTAGATTGTCGGGCTCAACGGGTAGTGATCAATGGCTCCATGTCTAGTTGGCAGCCAGTGTCAAGTGGAGTGCCCCAGGGGTCGGTCCTGGGGCCGGTTTTGTTCAATATCTTCATCAATGATCTGGAGGATGGTGTGGATTGCACTCTCAGCAAATTTGCGGATGATACTAAACTGGGAGGAGTGGTAGACACGCTGGAGGGCAGGGATAGGATACAGAGGGACCTAGACAAATTGGAGGATTGGGCCAAAAGAAATCTGATGAGGTTCAATAAGATTAAGTGCAGGGTCCTGCACTTAGGACGGAAGAACCCAATGCACAGCTACAGACTAGGGACCGAATGGCTAGGCAGCAGTTCTGCGGAAAAGGACCTAGGGGTGACAGTGGACGAGAAGCTGGATATGAGTCAGCAGTGTGCCCTTGTTGCCAAGAAGGCCAATGGCATTTTGGGATGTATAAGTAGGGGCATAGCGAGCAGATCGAGGGACGTGATCGTCCCCCTCTATTCGACATTGGTGAGGCCTCATCTGGAGTACTGTGTCCAGTTTTGGGCCCCACACTACAAGAAGGATGTGGATAAATTGGAAAGAGTCCAGCGAAGGGCAACAAAAATGATTAGGGGTCTGGGACACATGACTTATGAGGAGAGGCTGAGGGAACTGGGATTGTTTAGTCTGAGGAAGAGAAGAATGAGGGGGGATTTGATAGCTGCTTTCAACTACCTGAGAGGTGGTTCCAGAGAGGATGGTTCTAGACTATTCTCAGTGGTGGAAGAGGACAGGACAAGGAGTAATGGTCTCAAGTTGCAGTGGGGGAGGTTTAGGTTGGATATTAGGAAAAACTTTTTCACTAGGAGGGTGGTGAAACACTGGAATACGTTGCCTAGGGAGGTGGTGGAATCTCCTTCCTTAGAAGTTTTTAAGGTCAGGCTTGACAAAGCCCTGGCTGGGATGATTTAATTGGGGATGGGTCCTGCTTTTGAGCAGGGGGTTGGACTAGATGACCTCCTGAGGTCCCTTCCAACCCTGATATTCTATGATTCTATGATTGTAACAGGTCCTTCATGTTAAACCTCAGCCTTTTCAGAACAGTCATTAAAAGAAGCATGTGTACTCACGAATTCATACATGTGCACTGTATGGATCAGATTCTTCTCCCATTTACACTGTTGTAAATTAGGAGCAATTCCAGTGACGCAGATTTGTTGCATTAGTGGAAAACTGGTATAAAAGGAGAATCGGATGTTTGTTTTTGTTGTTTTTTTAAAGGATGAATAAAAGTTACTTCCTACACCTTAAAGTTTTAGGCTTAATTCTTAACTAGCCTTCCTGTGCTCTCTCACTTTTATTAAAAATACAATTTTTAAAGATAATACTATCAGTATAATCATTTTACCTTTCTGTCTCCTTGACAGATTCATCAGTGCTTTCCTTGTATTCCGGAACAAATTCATTGAGATCCATGCAAACTTTGCCAACAAATGCTCGCTGACCAAATTTATCTGTGAAATGTATAACAGAATAAAACTCAAAATCAGTTGTTTTCCAAACAAACTGCTAGCAAGATCTGCACTTAAAACCAGAGTAACAAATTCTGGCCCAGATAACTTCATTTAAGAGTGAACAGTGCCCATGTTCTTCATCTTTAGACTGAGACTTTTTAGCCTAAAAGGAAAATATTTTGATAAAGTAATGAGCAACAGAGATTTAAATGGAAACTCTGAACATTACCCTAGTACTCGCTACTGAAAACATTATAAATAAGGGCTAGATTGTGCCAGTTACACATAGTCCAGAGTGCAAAACTGCTGAAGGAAGAGCACTGGCAGGCAGACTGCCTCCCAGAATTCCCCAACCCACACAAGGATCATGCATGCCACCACATCCTTTTGTGGCTTGCAGCCTGCTCCTTCTTGTATGTCATCTGCCTGCACAGGTCAGTTGGAGGTCACAGCCTACCTTCCTGTCCCTTTTGGGCAGTGCTTAATTTGTAATGAAAGAGATGCTGGGGCTCAAGCAATTTTTTTTACATTCATAACTGGTGCAGCAAGCACAGAGGTGCCAGGGCTAGGAATTGCCAAGCCTAGAGGTACCGGGCTCAGCCCTGGCAAAAATTAAGCACTGCTTTTGGGGCACTGTGCATCCATTAGGAATTGGGGAATGACTGTAATCCTGCCTGGATTTTCCATGGGCCACACCAGGGTGGTTGAAAGAGTCGTCTTTGTCTTCCCCCCACTGCTGCACTGTACGTGCACTCCAAAAGAGCCAGGCAGAATCTAGTCATTAGTGAATACACTGTTGCTGTCTTCATAGGCATGTGGCAATTCTCCAAAGAGGGCCATATTATTGGAGGTTAACGTACCCCCCCATCCATATTACACATCATTTGAAAGCTTATTTTATGTACATTTAAAAGAGGTATAATGTGGAACTGTCCAGCTGTGCTGTAGGCCTGTAGGTGAAGTGAAACAATGGTACCCAGAATGAGAGCGTGACATTTTTGCACAGTTCCAGAAACACTGCAGCATGACTATGACTACAGTTTTTCTGTTTAAATTAAACACCAGATTAAGGTGTTAAAATTATAGGTCAAAGATACCAAATGACAATAGATTAAAAGATCTTTTTGGGTTTTTGCATGGGCAAGAGTTGTTGGTGTTGTTTGCCAGAAACGATGAAGTTGTTTGGCATCTGCAATATGCAATTTTGCAATATACTAATACAGTGGTTCTCAACTTATTTATTACTGGGGGCCCGGAACTCAGACCCCACCACGCAGGCTGGCCTGTAGCACACAGCTGAGCTGGGTCACAGCTGTGTGCTAATTGGGCCACATGCAGCCTGCGGGTTGAGAACCACAGTATTAGCATGAAATGTTTTCACATCATATATTCTTAATTGTCAAAGTACCTCACAGTGATTATAATAGTTTTCTATATTTTCAGTTGATATTTTCTGACCAGATCAGTCTCATACTGAAGGTTGTGTACCCATAGCAGTAGATTGTGCTCCGACAGTTTGTACTGCATAGTGGGTAGATATAGATGTATGTGAATTACTAATGCAATGCTTCCATTTGTAAGTTTTTGTACATATAATGTAGCATCTAGTCTGCCTAATAGAAGGTTTTAAACTGTAATTGCCTAGGCATACAAGACTAGCCTTTGAAATATTCTAAAAAATTAGCTTTTTAGTTCAATGACACTTATGCACAGTTCAGTATTCGTATTAGAGATGATAATACACAGCTTCAGTCAAAGTGCTCACTAATCAAAAATGACCATTTTGATACTGACATAAAAGTGTAAGAATGGCCATACTGGGTCAAACTAATGGTCCATCTACCCAGTACTCTGTCTTCCGAGAGTGTCAAATATCAGACACTTTAGAGGGAATGAATAGAACAGATCAATTATCAAATGATCCACATTCCCTGTTATCCAGTCCCAGCATCTGGCTGGCAGAGGCTTAGGAACGCTGACAGCATGGGGTTGCATCTCTGACCATCATGGCTAATAGCCACTGATGTACTGTATCCTCAATTAACTTATCTAAATCTTTTTTGAATACAGTTATAGTTTTGGACTTTACAACATCGTCCAGCAATGAGTTCCACAGATTGACTGTGCATTGTGTGAAGAAGTATTTCCTTTTGTTTGTTTTAAACCTGCTACCTGTTAATTTCAATAGGTGATCCCTGGTTCCTGTGTTATGTGAAGGGGTAAATAACGCTTCCTTATTCACTTTTTCCACATCCTTAATGATTTTATAGACCTCTATCATGTCCCCCCTTTGTCGACTCTTTCCCAAGCTGAACAGTCCCAGTCTTTTTCATCTCTCCTCATACAGAAGCTGTTCCATACCCGTAATCATTTTTGTTGCCCTTCTTTGTAACTTTTCGCTTTCTAATATATCTTTTTTTGAGATGGGCTGACCAGAACTGCACACAATATTTAAGGTGTGGGCATAACATGAATTTATATAGTATCATTATGATATTTTCTGTCTTATTATCTATCCCTTTTCTAATGGTTCCTAACATTCTGTTAGCTTTTTTGTCTGCTGCTGCACATTGAGCAGATGTTTTCAGAGAATTATCCATAATGATTCCAAGATCTTTCTTTAGTGGTAACAGCCAATTTTGACCCAATTATGTATGTATAGTTGTGATTATATTTTCCAATGTGCATTACTTTGCATTTATCAACATTGAATTTCATCTGCCATTTTGTTGCCCAGTCACCCAGTGTAGTGAGATCCCTTTGTAGTCTGCTTTGGATTTAACTATTTTGACTAATTTTGTATCATCTGCAAATTTTGCCACCTCACTATTGACCTTTTTTTTCCAGATCATTTGTGAATATGTTGAGCAGCACTGGTCCTAGTACAGACCCGGGGGGGGGGGGGGAGGAACATCACTATTTACCTCTCTCCATTCTGAAAACTGACCATTTATTCCTATCCTTTTGGTTCTTGTCTTTTAACTAGTTTCTGATCGAGGACAAGATCATCCCTCTTATCCCTTGACAGCTTAGTTCGCTTAAAAGCCTTTGGTGAGGGACTTTGTCAAAGGCTTTCTGAAAGTCCAAGTACACTGTATCCACTGAATCACCCTTGCCCATGTGTTTTTGACCCTCTCAAAGAATTCTAGTAGATTGGTGAGGCATGATTTTCCCTTTACAAAAGCCATGTTGACTCTTTGTCAACAAATCATGTTACTGATGTCTGATAATTCTGTACTTTATTATGATTTCAACTAATTTGTCTAGTACTGAAGTTAGGTTTACTGGCCTGTAATTGCCAGGATCACCTCTGGAGCCTTTTTCAAAAACTGGCATCATATTAGCGATCCTCCAGTCATCTGGCACAGAAGCTGATTTAAATGATAGATTACATATCACACTCAAATATGAAATTGCATGACTACTGAGTTCTGTAGCGAGGAAGTGTGGCCTCCCTCACAGGCAGAAGTGGAGGGGACACCACAAGCCACCTGGTGCGTGGAACGAGGAGGGCCACGCCCTACATGCTAGAAGCAGAGGGATAGGACAGGAAGGGGAAATATAAAAGGCCAGCCCAGCCCAGCCACTCAGTCTGGAGGGAGCTGCCAAAGGAGACAGATGCATCTTCCCCGCTGCTGGAGTCAGAAGTCAGGGAGAACTGCTGCTGCCATGAGGACCAGTCTGACCTTCCAGAGAGCCCTGTCACTCCCAATGCTGAAGAGCTACTACCACTACCCTTGACAGAATATCTTGAGGAGACTGAGGGGGAGAATAGGAAGCAGCCCAGGGGAGCCAGACTACCATCTGGCTATGGTGATGCCAGAAACATGGTCCGCGTGTTTCAGGTGGATTCCCGGCTGACCCAGTTGCAGACCACTCTTCCACTGTTAGGGCCCTGAGCTGGGATGCGGTGGAGTTAGGTGGGCCCGCATCCCCACTACTATCCCACCCCTAGGGTGGCAGTAATCCCCCTCCTTAGCCCAAGATGCCTGTGCTCCTCGAGTGTCCCTACTCGAGCCCCACAGACTGTGTTTGGTGCTCACTCCTGCTGGAGCCCCACTTAAAGGCGGGGTGAATAAACTGCTACAGCTCTGCCTGACTGCAGGCCACAGCCCAGCCTGTTTACAGCCCTGCCCTGCTTGAAGGCCAGGCCCCCTTGAAAATCAGTAATTCTCACCTTTTTTTCTTTGCTTGGAAAAGACGCTAGCAGACTAAGGAGGAGGCGTAGCCTCTGTCAGAGGCAGAAGCGGAGGGACAGCCACGCCAGCTTACAAGTTCCTTCAGAACTCTTGGGTAAATACCATCTGTTCATAGTGACTTATTACTGTAAATCAATTTGTTCCAAAAAATCCTCAATTGACACCTCAGTCTGGGACAATTTCTCAGATTTGTCACCTAAAAAGAATGGCTCAGGTGTGGAATCTCCTTCACATCCTCTGCAGTAAAGACTGGTGCAAAGAATTCATTTAGCTTCTCCTCAAAAGCCTTGTCTTCCTTGAGTGCTCCTTTAGCACCTCGATCATCCAACGGCCCCAGTGATTGTTTGGCAGGCTTCCTGCTTTTGCTGTACTTAAAATTGTTTTTGCTGTTTGTTTTTTAATCTCTGGCTAGTTGCTGTTCAAATTCTTTTTTGGCCTGTGTACTTACCACTTTTACACTTGACTTGCTAGAGTTTATGCTCCTTTTCCTATTTCCTCAGTAGGATTTGATTTCCAATTTTTAAAGGATGCCTTTTTGCCTCTAGCTGCCTCTTTTACTCTGTTGTTTACCCATAGTGGCATTGTTTTGGTTCTCTATTTTTTTAATTTAATTCAAGTCTCTATTATGGTGTTTATAAAAAGTTTCCATGCAGCTTGCAGGCATTTCACTCTTGTGACTGTTCCTTTTAATTTCCATTTAACTAGCTTCCTCATTTTGGTGTAGTTCCCCTTTCTGAAATTAAATGCTATCGTGGAGGGTTTCTTTGGTTTTCCCCCCTCCTCAAGAAAGATGTTACATTT